AAAGTTTGGCAAATCCCTTGTATCTGAATTACATTTATCAAATTGGCAGAGATAAAGCCAACTTCAATTAAGAAGACTGATAAATATTTCTATCACTGATAGCTCGGTCGTATAGAAAACATATGTGATGGTTGAAAACAGATATCAGAAGTAGTTCTCAACTCACGGGAAGTGACCCAGAAATTAAACAATCCCAAAGTATGAACTAGTATCAAAATGTAGCAAGGAGAACAGGAATATATTCTGAAGAACAATCCACATCAAAATACATATACATTGGCACAATGCTTACTTGAAAGAAGAAATCCATCTCCCTGTCTGATTGTGATGATATATCATAGAAGTATCACCGAAATTAATGCCACTCAAAATACCAATCTTGTTGTCAAAACTGCAGCAAGAAAATTTTGTGAAAGAATAAGTAAAATATTCAAATCATTATGTGATCAAATCAAGCTGGCTTATACTTTTGTTCCAACTGGAAAATGCTTTGCACCCAGAAGAAAGAATTATCATAAACAAAGATTACTCGTTAGTCATCATGGTCGATATAAGGGAAAAAGCAGGACCGATACGCAGGAGCTATAAACTGCAAATGCAGTCAGAAACAAACTAAATCCACGACGCATCGCTGCAAAATGTAACAGCAGAAAGCTAACCCATTGTTTGCAAATTTCAGAAAAATAAAACTTTTACCAAAATAAATGCACCCAATAATTGAAGATTGCGTTCGCCTACCAAGCAAATGGACAGCACCTAAAGGAGTCAGTAAATTTTTCAAGACATATCTAATGAAGCCTTTTCATTGGGCAGGAAAAGAAAGGCAGAGCAGCGGTGGATACCTCGTTGTTGCAAGGGAGCTTCCAGAAGGCGAGAAGTACGCAGAATGCACAGCTCTTTCATGATCCACTCTCCTCAATGTTTTGGGATTAACTGAATTCATACTCCTCAAGTCCCAAATGCAAGCAGTCCCATTTGAGGAACTAGTAGCCATGATATATGGGTTCTGTGAGTTAAAATCTATAGAATTGATCCTGCCATCGTGCAATTCCCAATTGGCCGAGGACCTTCCTGTTCTGAGATCCCAGATGTTCAAACTTCCCGGCCCCTCGCCAAAGTATAGACTCTTCGCATCACTTGGTCGTTGAGAGAGAGAGTATATAGTCTGCTCACTGACATGTACTAGCTCAAATACCTCCTTCTCAGCATCCATTAACCGGATAAACCCATCATAGCAACTGGTGAATATCTGCTCTCAAATTAAACAAAAACAAAAAAGTAAAGTTTTGTTTTCATCAGATTAAGTTCTTTTTTCTTTCTTATTATCTATAATCCTCATCAGATTAAGTCCTCATTCTCTTAAGTTTTGATGCACTGATAATCTACAAATTTGAAAGAATACCTTTGATA